GCATACTTTTAAAGAGAAGAAATCTGAACTAGTAAATTCAGGTTCCAATTTCTTGGTTTATTCTTTTCAGCATATTAGAGTCAAATGTTTTTACAAAAGGAATGTATTTTTCTTACTCTATCCATAGACAGACAATACTGTTAAAGCAATGAAAACCAATGTTTTCACCAAGTTTTTAGTAATAAAACGATTACATATTTCTTGTATTACACGTTTTTTTCCCCTTGTCTGAAAGAAGGCATGTTAGGGAGGCAGAATACACATAATTGTGACCAGTTCATGAGAAATAATGAGTTTGCCTGTAGTGTCTCGCCTCAAATCCATACAGCTGCATTGTTTCTCAACAGCTGCCATATGAGTAAAAAATGGTCTCTGATCGCTGCAGATCCTGGGACAAAGCCAAGAAACGTCAAAAATACAACATATGGGTGTCAACTGGACTTTTGACCAGATGATCTCACTTCCTGAAAAGTTGACTTTTGGGAAATAGGAGGTTTCAGCTGCGCTATAACGGCAAGCAGAAGCGTTGGAAGTTCCATCCTTATCAGTCAGAATGATCACAGAAAAACTCTGAAATGTTATCAGGCGGCATGATAGTGTCAAACAAGATCTTATGCTAATCTGTGCTGTCAAACGTGCTCTACAGTATGTTAACTGCTCCATAGAAAAGTTAGAAAGAGTGTCTGTCTGACAGACTGACTGGAGATGCTTGTTATAACCATAAACAGGATTGGAAGGAGGTGCTTGTGGCAATGTATACTGCTGTTTGAAAGATTAGAATAAGAATTCATCTAATTTGGAAACTTAAAAGCTTAAAATGACTTTATAACAATCATACAGGGGAAAAAAATATATTTTAAGTACTAAAAGGGCATTCAGAGATGGCAGACCTTGGCCTAAGACATCTCTATAGGTACAAGACTGCAACATTTCACACTATATATACGTTTCATAATTATTGTGCCTGTGGGTTTTAATACTACTTTAAAAAAACAAGCCGGGTCAAAAAACAAATCCTCTTTGGCAGAAATAAATATTATTTTTGTGTCTGCCCTGTGATCCACTCAACATTTCAAAGGATCCTTAGTTAGTCTATGCTACACTTTTCCTCCAAACTTCATGGAAAACAGGCCAGTAGTTCTTCTGTTATTCTGCTGACAGAGCGACAAACCAAACCGAAAACAGAGCCTCCTTGGAGGGGAATATGATAGGGTGACGTGTTATCTTACGTCCAGGGTCTACTGTAGGTTCAGCAGCGACATGGGGGGTAATGGAATTAGCTGAAACTATCAGCAGATAGACCCTGTGCTGTGAAAGTCACGGTTTACAGCAGCTTCTGTTCTGCAGACCCCTCATGACCTGAAGTTGATTCATCACGAGACTGAACCATGTTATGGTTATGGTAGAGCAACATCATCTGCCATGTCTTTTTTTGTTAAATGAGGCTATTCGGTTGGAAATATCGTTTTTTTTTAAATATTTTGCAGATACTTCCAGTGGGAGATATGATAAAGTCTAGGCTAGTTTACTCATCTTGAGCAGTTTTGTTCCAATTGTGGAAATAGTTATATATAACTTATATAATATCCTTTTTTTTCGAATATTCAAGTCTGACTAAACAGCTGCAGTAGCTCTGTAAGAAAGTCTACATAGCTTTAACTTATCAGAAGCCACTGTGGCCATACAATACAGTAGAAAAGGAACTGACTTAATCAAAATCAAAATCTAGGTTAGGTTTGCAAACATAAGCTACATAAGATACTATTCAAGCCAGACCACGCGGTAGCAAAAACCCGGACTAAGTTAAATTCAGTGACAGTGCACTTTTGCGGATAAATTCAACTTTAGATTTGTAAGAGGAAGGAAGTGCTATTTCTTCTTCCAAAAGTAGCATAGGCTTGCTTTGAATACAATGAACATTGCAAATGAGACCCTGAGTCTTTATTGGCTAACAAGCATGGTACTGCAAAACACTGAAGCCTATAAAGATGTCAGCTCCTTCATTGCTTGCTTAATTGCAACCAAGTTCTGGAAGTATTTCATACAGCTAGCCTGCTCATCAACAGGTGGAGTGCCCCAATACTGGCTCTAGGCTGAAAGGTTCTATTAGAACACGTCATCTGATTCAGGCAGTTGCAAGGAAGCTATGTCCTAATGCAAACCCTGCAAGATTGGCTATGCAAAGCAGCAAAGAAAGTTGAAGTTTTTTTTCTTGCCAGACTCTCTGTACACTCTTCTATATCCTTCCGAACTGCTGCTTGTGCAAACAGGAAACCATCACATAGTATGGAACCACAGTCTTTGCCTCTTGCACCATCTTTACCCCGTACCTGCAAATCTCACAGAGAGTTTTACACAGGAGCTTCATTACTGCCAAAAAACTCAACACAGGGACGATAAGATTCAAGGTGGCAGTGGAGAACTGCACATAATGCATCACATAAAACCAAGTGTGGCCATCAATCACTTGTTACGTTTAGAATTAAAGGGTGAGAATGAATTGTCTTCGGCAATTTAGCTAATGAAGTATATTTGACACAGAGTAAAGGTGCCTTTCAGATTCTGCCATGGGGCTAAATTGCAAAAGCACTGATGGCATGTTTGTATCAGGTAAGGCTGCAAAATTAAAGCCAAAGGGAGATAAATCATTTCCTTCGCCGTCTATGTTTCTCAGGTCCTGATGGTGGAGTTATTTGTAAAAGATCATTTACAGGCAATGGTTGTGGAATGCATTGCTGTTTGACCTGGTGGAGAGCCTAAATGAGCAAAAAAGTGAAATGAAAACAGTTTTCAGACAGTCGGTGCACTGTGTCAGGTTGGCTACATCCGCCCTGCTGAGACCTCCACTCCTCCACCAGCAGCACATTCCCTGGAACCCTCCGAAGAGTCATTAGAGCTCAATGTGGTACTACCTCTCATTTTGCAAGTGTTGCTGTGCTACAGGTTCTTTGAGTGACGCTCAATTTCAGGTACTTAAGTCATTCCATTTTGTGCTACTCCACAACATTTCATCTGTTACTTTGCAGGTCCAGGAATCATTGCATGTGCACGGTGAAATGCATGTATTTGGGAAGTAGGATCGTCTGGATAAATAAGATTTGGATGAATCTGTTTTCCTTACTTAAATGTAATCTAATTCTTTAATCAAAGTTTTTTTTTTACGAATTCAGGGTAGCATGTGATGGGTCATTGCTACACATATGGTAATTTGGGGGTGTAAGTTTTGCGTTAAGTAAACATTGAAGCTAAACCAAATACTTATAAAGAAATTAGTACTATTTCCATAACTGGATGAAATTAAATATTATGTTTAGGCTCATACTGTTTCAAATTTGGAGGAACATGTCATAGATAATGGGTATTGATATTCTCCTAACCCTAACCCTAGCCCCCATCCGAAAGAAGTGAGTCTATCAGAATGAGCATCAATTCATGTGCCTTGTGCTAATACAGAAACAGAAGCACCTGAAATAGATCAATTGTGACATTATCCTCAGAAGTACAGAGAGTTATCTTGTGATGTTTTTGTTCTTTGTGAATCAAAAAGTCGATTTATAGCAACTTCCTTCTTGGTGGTTTTGATGCAATGAAGGCAAGATGGTCAACCATCAGCATTGTGTTTGTGGTCAGGTATTTTCATCTTTGAGCAGACTTGACTGACAGCATTTTAAATGTACAACCTTTGAGCTGCATTTCAGTGATTAAAGTGTGTCATTAATTCTATTCTAAAGAACCTAGATCTTGCTGGGGTTGGATTGCCATCATTTTTGAAAAATTAAAAGATATTTTTTTATCTTAGTAATATATGTATATATGTTTCCATCACCCCTTGTTTCATATTTGTGTCTCTCTATTCAATGAATGATCACAAAAGAGAAGAAGTTAATGAGAAATAAAAGGCGCACAGCATTAGCCTACCATTTTGAACTTGAACCTTGTTATTCCAAAAACGATTATTAAGAAATTCTAGAACATTATAGTCAAAACTGTTAGTTATAGTTTAAGCTTTGTATGGTGTCATTATCGCACACAGTTGCTATACATTATAAATAAAAAACATCATAATCTTGCTATGCTTTCATCCAATAAATTGCCTGACCACCTTTACTAGCACCCATTGGTTATGGGTGCTAATTTCAAGATCTACTCCAATGCAATTTAGAATCCATTGTGAACTGGGAATTGCTTCTGGATTGAATCGTGAGACTAACAACCATACTATATGTGTAAGAAGCTGTACCTTATGCTGAAAGCGGACCTCCTTTTATGGTTAGGTAATCTAATACTCATAAAATAAAATAAAATACGAGATTTTTATAATTGATCTTAGTTTCTGTTGAAGAAACAAGGCTGCTCTATTACATTACTCTCACAATCTTTGTTGTTGCACTCAAGCACAAAGGACTTTGTGGATGCCTCTGAGAGAAGAGGTTGGCTGTTTGAGCCATTAGCTTATCTTCATTATATAATAACAGAATGTGAATTAGCTGTCAATGGTGGAAGCTGGCGTGGGGTGGGGTGGGGGGGGGGGGGGATTAAGGTTCCATGGCTCTCGCAGCACAGCCAGTGATAGAGGAGTTATATTTACAAGAGGCTGTAAATCACCCCCATATGGTCAAGGCAATGTGGCAACACACACAATGGGCACGTAAACACACATCGTCATAATTACACAAGCATGTAAACACACACACACACACACACACACACACACACACACACACACACACACACACACACACACACACACACACACACACACACACACACACACGCACACACAGAGAGCATCAACACTGAAAATGCTGCACACATATTACATAATTGATAACATCCATTTGTCCACTTAGAAACCCCCCCAGTGAATAGTGTACCTTTTAAACAAACTATATATAAACACACATATAATCACTTCATGCACACCATTTTACACACACACACACATATATTTATAAATGAACACACAGGTTGTTTTTGGATTCACATGCATCCGTACATACCTCACTTTGTGCTCTTCCTCTGTCCCTCACTATCTCTTCCTCCGCTCTCCTCCTCTCCTCTCACCATCCCTCGTTCTCTGTGTCACACACAAACACACACGGAGAGAGGAGTCTGTTTGAATCTGACAGATTTCTCTCTGCTCTGAACCCTCCTCCCTCTCCCTCTCTCTCTCTCTCATTTCTCAGACACTCAAAAACAGCCCTCCCTCTTTTCTTTCTTCCCTCTCCTGCCAGATATGCCGTCCCCCTTTCTCTCTCCTCCCATTCCCTCCCTCTCTGCCTCGTGAAGCCAACCCAAGCCACGCCCCCTGCTCTCTCCTCTCCTCCGGGCGGCTATAAATACGGCTGCTGCTATGAATACACTGCCTTTCTCCCTCAGCATCCCTCGCTCCCGCTCCCCCCCCTCTCCATCCATCTCCATCCCTCGACTACCCTCCCTCCCTGCCTCGCTCCATCCCTTTCTCTCGCCAAATGTTTTTCTGATGACCTTGTATTATTTGCCGTCACATGACAGCATCCTTTACCTCTCTCGTGCTGCAGCCGTTTCCATGCACACATGCTATGGACATGGCATGTTTTCGAGCAGCTTCACACACACACACACACACACACACACACACACACACACACACACACACCACACACACACACACACACACACACACACACACACACACACACACACACACACACACACACACACACACACACACACTTCCTGTCTGTTGCGCCGGATGCGGTGCATTTTTTATTCCTTTTCAACAGCTGAGAAAAACACACTCTGATTAAGAGATGCAGCATCTACAGTGGATCACATTTCCCTTTACTCCTTCACAGATCAATCCCACTCGATGAGTCAATAATGGACGTATCATGTCATGTACTAAGCAATGAGACAACAATACATTTATTCTAGTAAAAAGCTGGATGAGGGATTTAATGCGTTTCTCTCAGCATCCTTCATCCCTTCACTCCATGTTTTAGACGGCAATTTATCAAACATCGAGGTAGATTTATCATCCTGAATGCAGCATTGTAATGAATAAAAGATCAACTGTTTTGTTGTTTTCACTGCGTGTATTTCTCTATATACATTAAAGAGCCTCAACATTTAGTCGACTAATCCATTAGAGAATAGTAAGAGAAGTAATCAGAGGCTGCTTTGATGATTGAAAATGTATTAATCGGTAATTTTCCATGCAAAAAATAAGAAAATACAGTTTTTCAAACCATTAAATTACGAGATTTATTGGTTTAATAACAAAGTTTAATACAATAATAAAGTGAACATCTTTTGGTTAAGGAGTGACAAAACAAGACATTGTAATGCATCACAATGGACTATGAGGAATTGGGTTTGACATTTCCCTCTATTTTCTGACATATTTTGGAATAAACGAAGAATCAATAATGAAAATAATTGTGTTTTACAACCCTACAGTAATAGTGACTTGTCAATCAGGGAGCTACATCCTAAAGCATACCTGGCTTTACCGTCTAATTTGAATCTAAATAGGTCCATAATTCACAAAACAAAACATCATACTTCAAAGAAGAATACTTGAAATTAGCAATTGAGTTTATTAGTTGTAGCCCTATAGAAAAACACGTTATATATCCAATATGTCAGGCCGATGCACCTGCACATAAACAAACGCTGGACAGATACACATCGTACACTAACAGTACAGTAGGTATGATGAACATTAGGCAGCATCATGTCTCTGCCTTCGCTCACTGCCAGCATTATTGCCTGGGAATGAGGTTACTAACATCTGGTGCAGGCGCGTTATGTGCACCGAGGGTACACTTAAACAAAATCAAATCCTCGCCCGTAGGCTATACGGTATGTCACAGACGTAATTAATCCTGGGATTGCACCGGCACGATAACTTCGTAAATAAAACCACAGAAACCGAGAGCAGACACAAAGAAGTCTAGCTGATTGTAAAGAGGGTATTTCCTGCAACCCCTTTGATCTTGGTGATTATAGACTACCACAGGGTGCCTATGGGTTAGGGTTACCATATAAGGTAGCACAGCCCTGTTCAATGTGCTGTGTGAGCCTGTTTATTGTCATGGCTTCAATTCAATTCAAAACCTTTATTTATCCAGGTGAAATCCCATTGAGATCAATGATCTCTTTTTCAAGGGAGACCTGCAGGCTTGCTTTTTTTGTTGTTTTCATCAAGCTTACAAGATTTTGATATGGCTCTCAATTTTGTCACATGTAATCTTCATTATAACTTTAAGAAAAGGGGCTGCACCATAACGTTTTTTTATATTGTGAGAGCAATGTCAGTTTAAATATGCTCTATTATGCTTTTTGGAGTTTAATCTTTCCCTTTTTTGTGCATGTCAATGGTCTGCAAAGGCTAATTTCCACAGTTCCTTCCAGACACTCCCCCCACTGCTTGAAACGCCTCGATTGGGCTCCTTTATTTACTTCCATAGTAGAATAGGCCCCCTTTAATGAGGGGCGTTAAAGGGGCCAGAACATTATGGTCCTGCTTGCCAGGATAAGTTATTGGTTTGAACGTTTATTTTGACCATCTCTAGAAGATGCTCCGAGATGTTACGAGTTTGTTAAAAGAGAGTAGCAGTGAAACTGTGACTCTGTTGTTATGGTACTTTCTGTGTTCATTTCAATATTTAGATTTGATGCATAAAAGATTATTGGAAAAGTTCTCCCCATATTGTGCATATTTTGGCATAATATAATTCGTTTTTTACATTTTCCTGTGTGAAGTCCATGGCAGAAGTAGAACGACAGAAAAAGTCGAAATATATTTTCAGTTAAATGATTTTATTTGCATTAATGGGGGAGCAGATGATAACGTTTTCTCCAAACTGTTTGATGCAAGAGGCAATTATGAGTCACCGGCTCAGAATCAGCATGACACTATGTGTGTGTGTGTGTTTGTGATTAGGATTGGTGTTAGTCAAGTATTGTGTCGCTGAAGGCCACATTGTATCTCTGTGTGTTCTGGAGAGGAAGTGCTGGTGCAGGTGTGTTTCAGAACCAATTCCTCTTCGCCTCTGTTCGCGTTAGGGCCGCCTGCAGGTCCTCAGCGGTGTGTGTGTGTATCTTTAGAGAATGCGCGAGGGCTTTGTGCAGCTCCTCAGGGGCGATCATGTCGAGGCGCAGCAGAGAATCCACCAGCTGCGAGCGAGCGTTGCCGATGAATGAGTGCGACAAGAAAGGCGCGAGGCCCCCCCCGTTTTTCGTGTTGTAGAGAGGGACCCTGACCATTCCCAGAACCTGGACAGAGACAGAGTTGGTGAAGAACAGATCATGAGGTAAATGGCTCAGTCCCACTGGACGGAAAAGGACACATACCTCCTGTCCATGATCTGTTGCAGTGGATGCAGCCTCTTTCTCCACCTCCTTTATCTGCTCCTCCTCCATCTTCTTCACATAGAAGTGGGTTATAAGACGGGAGGTGGAGGAGGGGGAGGAAGCAGGGGCATGGCAGCAGTCCACATGATCTTCTGCCGATATAGGAAGAGCAACGCCCAGCTCTTCCAACAACTCCCTGCTAAGCCCCGCCTCCAGGGTCTCCTCTGAAGGGTTAACATACCTGAGGTGGGACATGGGGTCAAGGGTCAGGATGAGATTAGAAAGTCAATAAACAATGTCAGCTGTATTGCTATCCAGAGACTCCTCGGTGCAATAAATCAAGCTGATTGAAAAGATCATTTAATTTTAAAACCCCAAACACAAGTGCTTCTTTGAGTCACAAGGAAGTCTAATTAAAGGGGCCCTAACATGTTCAATTCCAGGTTCATATCAGTATGTAGTGTCTCTACTGTGACATGTCTCCATACTTTGATGTTCAAAAAGCTCTTTATTTCTCTCATACTGCCTGTGCTGCAGCACCTCTTTTCACCCTCTGTCTGAAACCAGAGCCCAGTCTGCTCTGATTGGTTATCTGGCTGGCTCTGTTGTGATTGGTCAACGGTTACTATCAAGACGCTACCACGATCAAGCAAAAAACGTATTCATGTTAAACACCATTCTAGTTTTGCATGCTAATATTCATACTTATTACCACTAAACCCCCACAGCTGACACTGTTTGAGGTAAACGGTTAACAATGTAGATTTGTTATACTTGGTGCAAACACAGTATAATAATACAATTAAAAAGTAAGGCACTATGAATGTATTGTGTAAGAATGGGACGGTGCTGCTTCTGACCATTCTTCATTTATTTTGCATATTTCTTCACGTCTTGTTACATAATTTCACTGCGTTGGCGAATCGTGCCTGAGCAATGTTGGCAGTGACTACTGTAACATCACAGACACAAAGGCACAAGTGATTCATATAAAGATGAATTAAGCAGAACCTGTGGCAGTTGCAGTTGTTTTTGTTCTTTATACGGCAAGATCAAGCACCTTGCAGAAGACAGTGTCATGCATATGTTCTCATCCAGACACAGTGAGTGCATGTTTGTTCAAGTTTACATCTTTTGATCTGTGAAGCAAACAAGAGATCTACAAAGCTAAGCTAAACATACCTGTGTGTGCACATAAAAGGATGAAACAAAAGCAGCACCAGGAAAGACTCACCCTCCAGGGAAACCCAGCAGACCGTCAAAGCGCATCTGCATCTGCGGTGGGAAGTGACAGAGGCTGTTATACACTCACACACTGATGCATACACAGAGAGAGGCAGAGGTGCTTTGTCAAAAAACACCCTGGTTTGGAGAAACACGCAGGGAGCTAAGCGGTGTACTGCTGTAAAGGGGGGCAGCAGTACAACATTTCTCAGCCACCTAAAAAATGTCATTATCGGATTGTGTATGTTATATGAATACTATGTATTTTATTGGTCCACCTTGCACCAGACTGTATTAACACAAACTGTTATTTAATGTTGCAGAACAAAGGAGTTGCTACTCTAATGCTACATTCATCTTGTCTGAATATTTGGTTTTTACCCCATGTCAATTCTTGCATAAACTGACCCCCCTGACAAAGTGACATATTTTATGGATATTTCATGTTTTTTTCTTTTCCCTAACAATTAACCTTTTTTTGTGCCATTTTGGTTGTCTTAGCTGCGTACTTTCTAAAGCAAGACAAGTCTGTTTACCAGAGGTAAGGCTTCTAGGTCTATACCCAGTGCTTGAATTGGGCCGGGACTCACCGGTACGCAGTACCGGGACTTCTGATTTTTACCCATCTGCGTACCGTTACTTCTTACTGCGTACCGGCACCTCATGACGCATCTAGCTACGCATATTTGTTGTATGATTCCCCTGTGTCCTCCCTGGCAGCTCCATTGAGCTGCCAGGGAGCTCCATCCTTTCCTGCTGAAAGATGCATGAGTGTACTCAGGGACGAGGAGTCATTTAACCAGCCGCCAGTAGGAGTCAGGCTTTAGCCATATCCGCTGCCTTTCATACTTTTTTAAGTACAGTGAGCCTTTGTAAAATATACAGTAAAGAGACAAACCCACCAGCATTATAGGATATATACTATATGCAACCCGGTATCACGGCAAGACGTGAACATGTGACGATTTACCATGCTGGGAGACGTGAAGATGTCACGGTTTCGTCCCCTTCAAACGTGACAGCTACACGGTATTGTTAACCCATGTTAACCAGTGGAGAAATAACCAGTGGAAATACCAAGCAAATGCTACCCCGACGTAATGATTTATTTTTTAATAGTCACACTCGATTACAGCGATTTTCTTGTTGCCCCAGCTGGTCGACATCTCTTTTAGCAGAAACAAAGGCTACATTAATGTATTAAATCAATGTTAATCCATGCGTGTGGATGTGGAATTAACGGACGTGACGTTGTGCGATTGAGTTGCCAAGCAACAGCTTCGGTTCATGTTAATTTACAAACTATTCAACCACAACCGTAGTTATATTTAAAAACATGTTAGAAGGCCTCACAAAATACTTTAATGCACATTAAAATGTAAATGTTAAGGAATGTGTGTATAACAAAATACATCGGTCATTAAACGAAACCGGAAACAGACGTAGGCAAGATCCTCAGCTCGATGATTGGATGGTTATCCGCAACGTTGCAAACTCACAAATACATTTGCAAGTGTAAAACGGATCTGCAAATACGCTAAATATGTTCACAAATTAAAAAAAGATCTGTGAATATCTCTTTAACATTTACACCTTTCGATCAGGCATTTGTGAATCCATTTTGTATTTGTGGACCAAAAATGCGCTTGCGGGTCTCAAATCTCTGTTCACGGATCGTCTTTTTACACACACGGAATTTTGAGACATATTTTCCGCCGGTCTCGGCTAAAATCTACTCGTGTCACTCGGTTATTTTCGGAAACCACGTGATGGCCTGCTGATGACGACATTTCCGCATGATTTCAAAGTAAGAGCATGATGGTTTGTTTAATGCTCTGTTTTTGTATTATAATGAACAGCGGAACGTTAGATGCATTCTTCATCACCATAACCCTGACCTAAATACGGTGCTTTTCTACAGATTACTTTATTACTGCACTGGTAAGGTAAAATTAGGCCGTTTAATAAGATGTGAAGTGCTTTGTAACTTCGACCCGCTTGACTGAATACACAACAAACAATGAAGAAAGAGTTTTATCTGGGCTGCTTCGCTGCCAGCTGCTCCCCCGGGACCCGAAAGTGGCGTATAGCCTGCACTTCAACATCAACGAAAGTGCTCGATATATGCTATATTGAACCAATAACACAAACTAACTGTATCACTATAACATGATGATGATGGTGATGGTGATGAAGAATGCATCTAACGTTCCGCTGTTCATTATAATACAAAAACATTAGCATTAAACAAACCATCATGCTCTTACTTTGAAATCATGCGGAAATGTCGTCATCAGCAGGCCATCACGTGGTTTCCGAAAATAACCGAGTGACACGAGTAGATTTTAGCCGAGACCGGCGGAAAATATGTCTCAAAATTCCGTGTGTGTAAAAAGACGATCCGCGAACAGAGATTTGAGATCGTGAACAGAGATTTGAGATCCGCAAACGCATTTTTGGTCCACAAATACAAATTGGATTCACAAATACCTGATCGAAAGGTGTAAATGTTAAAGAGATATTCACAGATCTTTTTTTTATTTGTGAACATATTTAGCGTATTTGCAGATCCGTTTTACACTTGCAAATGTATTTGTGAGTTTGCAAATCTTTTAAATGCATCTGTGGATGGTGTTTTACATTTACAAATCACATATTTACACACAAATTATTTTTATGTTCACACAAATAATGAGACATATCTATGCCCATACATTTAAGATATTCATTGCTATCAGGATGTTAAGAGCATTCCATGGAATAACAAAAGTGTATCTCGAGCCGGTTTCTCAAACTTACCTACCCCACCTTTAATATATATATATATATGTAAAAAATGTTGGTTTCTTTACAGATATTAATGAATGACTGAGAAAAAGGCAAACTGTATTTATTTTGTATACGTTTTCTCACACCCCTTGTGACCCCACCATGAAGCCCTTTGTGGGGATTGGGATATCCAGGTTTGGAACCAGTGTTTTAAGTTGATATAAAAATCACCAAAGTCACACAATAACACAGACAAATGAACCGATTGAGGCAGGGTGAGACCAGCGACTCCAGTGTTCCTGCAAATCAAAATGACTATTTTTGTAAATGGACAAAATAAAACATAGAGAACACGGACTATGGAGAAGTGTGTCATATAAGCCCCTATCCAACACTTCAAACTATCCACACACACACACACACACACACACGCTTTTCCTCACCAGTATGATATGTCTGATTGGAATTCTCCCAAACAGCTGAGTTTTCGTGTCACAGTAGAGCATCACGTGACACGCATGCCTGCAGCCTGAGCACGCCAACGCCCCAGCCCTGGACAGCTGTCCACTCGCCATCTACAAGTTCACACAGAAACACAGAGCAGAATTACAGTCACAGTTCACTGCTCAATGATCATTATGCATGGCTGCCGCCTGTAATGTGCTGCCAATGTGACATCATCCAAGTACCCCCTCCATCGTTTGCTAACCTGACTGAAACTGGTTAGTTAAAAGGGCTGTAGGTTTATATGCAGAAAAGCGTATGCCTTATGGAATGCTATCAATGCTATGAAGCAGAACCAGGAAGCTAACAGGAAAATCTTTGTGCCTTTTATTAAAACAGCTTTGGCTCCCTCTGCTGGTGTGGAGGTGTGTATCAACTGCAAGTTTCAAATGTTGTTTTTAGTCACTGTATCTTATTCTTCGTCTCATAGACTTCGAAACAATTCTATATTTTCACAGAATGGCAATCACAATAATGCTTTTTGGTAAAGCAATCAGGTAATCCAAAAATATATTTTATAATTTCTACAGATTTCCTTTTTTTTTCTCAATTTTTTAGCACTCAAAATATGTACTGTTGAATGAATGCCATTTTTCTTTTATGTATTGAGTCAGGCACAATGAGTTTACATTTATACAGTCAATATTGTTTTCCCTCCTCCCCCCCCTCCCGGTCCTAGCTAGTACAGTAAATAACTAAATAAATAGATACATATATAGGTAAAATAAAGTAATGTAAAAGATAATATTAAAAGAAAATTAATAGATAATAAAATAAAGAATAGTAACAATAATACATGTACCCATATACTCACATATGTATACCCACATATACACATACACATATATATGTACATACCTAGTACACACATACACATACATAAATACATGTAATGACAGAAACAAAACAAAACAAAAAACGCATACATTCGTAGTTCCCCCTCTTTCTCCTTAATGTAGTGTCTTAAGTTCAGCTATGTAGGCTATCATAGAGCCCCACACAGATTCAAATAGTTTTGAGGAGCCCCTCAGGTTATATTTAATCTTCTCCAAGTTCAGGTACATCATTATACCTTTAAGCCATAGAGATGCTTTAGGTGGTATAGAAGATTTCCATTCTAGGAGTATTCTTCTACGTGCTAAGATAGATGCAAAGGCTATACTGTCTTTAGCTTTCCTCTTCAACATTCGGTGGCCAGGTAGTACTCCAAAAATGGCAGTTTCTGCACATGGTGTCAATACCACGTCCAAGGCCTCAGTAAGGTGATTGAAAATGCTTGTCCAGTATCCTTGTAGGCGAGGACAAGACCAAAACATGTGAGTCATGTTTGCTGGTGACATGTGGCATCTGTTACAGGTGTCCGTAACATTTGGATATATTTTGGAGAGTTTAGAGTTGGTGTAATAGATACGGTGGACAACTTTTGGTTGTATAAGATTGTGCCTGGCACAGGACGTACTATTGTTCACTCTCGCTAATGAGCCATCCCAGACCTCATCATCTATAGCTTGGACTAGTTCCTCTTCCCAATGTTGTTTGATTTTACCAAGCGATGTTTCTGTGAGACGGGAGACGGAATTGTAAATTCTTGAAATCAAACCTTTTTCGATTGTTAAAGTGTCCAGAAATGAGTCAATTATTGAATCCGGAGGGATATTGGGGAAGGAAGGGTTGTTTAGTTTAACCCAGTTTCGGACCTGGAAGTAGCGAAATAGATGAGTGCCTGGAAGGCAACATTTGTCAGAGAGTTGGCTAAAGCTACCGAAAACATTGTTAATGTAAAGGTCCCTTACTCTGATAAGACCTAATCCCTGCCACATAAAGAAGGCCCCATCAGTGTAAGGGGGGAGAAAGAGATGGTTGTTGCGAATGGGACTATGTATAGAGGATCCACAGAGTCCATGAGCCTTTCTGAATTGGGACCATATTCTTAGGGTGGAAACAACAATCGGGTTATTCGAGTATTGAGTTGGCCGGCTGGGTAATGTAGATGTAAGCAAAGCCAAGAGTGAGGTATTAGGACAGTATTTGGCTTCAAGCTCACACCAACTCAATGTTGGTTCCTTAGTCCATAGAATTATTTTGTGGATATTGGCTGCCCAATAGTAGTGTCTTATATTTGGAAGCGCCAACCCTCCTGTAGATCTGTGCCTTTGTAAAAGCTCTTTCCTAATTCTAGGAGTCTTCCCTTGCCATAAAAAAGAGGAGATTAGTGTGTCTATTTTAGGAAAAAGTGATTTGGGTAGGAAGACGAATGAATGCCATTTCTAATGTCGTATAACGGATATTATCAAATATCGAGTAATTGTAATACATGTGAAATACAGTAGCAAGTGGATATTCCATCTCTTCAAGATATTTCATTATAAACAAGGCAAGAGATGCATGCTCTTTCTGTGATTTTGGTGAAACTTTGTTTTTATGATGTCTGCAGTGCAGTTCAGAAAAAAACGGTCTGATTTGTTGAACATCTTATGAGCCACACATGTTAGCTGTCAAATAAATGCTTCTTACCCAGGTAACATAGGCCTACTTCAACAATAAAGTGCTGTCTCATTCTTCAATCAGCATTTTTTAGCCCAGTAGCAGTACATATAAACCTTTTGGTGACGTAATGAGCGCTGATTGGCTGAACAACGTATTGTAAATTGACACGTCAGTGTGTTTAACCAATAGCAGGCCCCCGCCTCTCCGTGGCTAGTGACTAGGCTTGTTTGAGACGCGTTGCGGCTCGCCTCGAAAGTAGACGAGAATAGCCGATCGCAGCCGGGGGACGTCTCAAAAAGCTCGCCTGAAGTCGGACAGCTCGGAGTCGGCTTCTTCATCTTCTTCTTCTTCTCTCGGCTTTTTGGGTGATTGCAAACAACTTTATGGTGCATACTGCCGCCTCCGGAGTCGGCTTGACTCGGTTTGCATTTATAAAGAATGCACAAATGTGTTTAATCGTTAATGTCAGATATGTACTACTAAGTAAATACATTTGTTCCTGCTCAAGATTAGATTCAACTTTATTGTTATTGCACATATTACAGCTACTGAGAGAACGAAATGCAGTTTAGCTTCTAACCAGGAGTGCAACAAGCAGTAAAGTGAAAAGTAATGTACACAATCTACAGAATAAAATATAGAATTAATTGAATGATGAATATGGAGGGAAAGGAATAGATATACACAGCAGCCTGTGATCAGTATGAACAATGTATGAATATGCTAATATATATAATTTATGAAAACGGTAAGCAGTGCAAGTATAGTATACAATATATAGGCTAGATATTAATTTCATGATGATAAACATTGTGGAACAATGATGAAAAATGGGAATGGATGTGGCGACGTAAAACTGACACAAAACAACAACAAACTTTTGCCGAGCCAATTGGAGAGTTTCATCAGAAGCACGGGGTAAAAACCACCAATGAGCGCTCAGCTCGAGATACCAGCGAGTCGTTTCCCATCAAGCATTTCGCTTCCGCAGCCCGTGGAGAGCATGGTGGAGAGGAACTGCGCCGCCTCTCTCCAATATGGGCCCTTTCTCATTTCATCAAATCCCCCTCCTCGACTCCTCCGGTAGTGACCCGGAAATGAATTTTAGCGCGCCATGTTGAAGGACATCTCATTTCTCTAAATGCACTTCGAGGACCGAGGATTGAGCGTCGAGGAGGCTCTCTGGAGGAGCTATAACCTAGGATACACTGATGGGTCCTCCACGGCTCCTTCGTGGATGCATTTCCGGGAACAGAGATGTTTCAAAGAGTCGTGACGCACGGCCGGGGATATTATTTTATTAACTGCTTTCATCGCGACGCGATGTTTACAGTGAGAACAGATATATCCAGTCTCTGATAGTGTTACGTTATTATGAGAGTGCTCTGTTTGATTCTGAAATGGTATATATTTATATAAATATATACAAATATATATGTGTGTGTGTGTGTCCGCATCGGTAGCCTGTTATTGTCTCATTATACCATACTGTGAATGAATCAAAGTAAATATATAAGTGGTCATGAACACATATATGTCCATCAGACAGAGGGCTGCTGTGCCTCCTGTCCATAGACTGTATATATAAGCTCCTGTCATCATTAATGGACGTCTCTTTAAAATGACCGCTCAGAGGAGAGGAATTCTCATTTCTCTAACCGCCTACTGCTTCCCCTCCTCTCTCCTCGGTTCCCCTCCTCCGCTCGCATCTCCTGTGGGCGGGACTAAGTCTCGAGGGTAGGAGTCGAGGAGGGGAGTTAGAGAAATGAGAAAGGGCCCCGGTCTAGCTGCGGTCGCGGACAGTACACTACACCAGTGGTTCTCAACTGGTCAGGCCTCGGGACCCACTTTTTACTTTGTCAATACATCGCGACCCAACATTTTGAAGCACTCAAATCTATTCAACAAAAAAACGTGCTGTAATATATACGCTTTTCAGCATACAATATTAATACAAGTGAAGTACAGTATATCCCTTCACAGAACTGAAGTATGCTTTTAAAAAAGGTTTAATGAGATAATGGAATCAAAGCTGAACTATATAAAAAGGCACACATGATGAAAATCCAACCTCAGCAGGGGAGTCTGGGGGGATTCTCCCCCAGGAGATTTTTAGAAATACTAACATAAACTATGCATTCTGGTCAGTGTGCGAACTATACCACAGTCTCCGGGGGAGCCGGGATTTTTTTTTTTTTGCGGGGGGGGGGAATGCTGATCTGTGCATTAATAGCAACAGCACAGACATAGGCCTATTATAAAGAAAACATCTGTTGCACACGGGGTGGTGCCACAGGTCTACATTTACATGAAACGTCCCGATGGATCATGTTCATGTCAACAGATTTCCCGAGCATGTATGGGCTACGCATTCTTCAATCAACTTGATAATAAATAATCCACGGACCACCAATGTAACGTTTGACTGTTTAATTAAATCAACTTAAAATGACTCAAAAACAGGCTACATTGCTTCACATGGGCTATAGCCTATTATGGCTGTAGCCTACACAGAGCCGAACACACGCGATAAGAGCAGCCAGCGGCACCAACCATGAACAATATTAATATTAATAATACAGCTATAGCACAACACAACCCTCTCACTGCCTGGAGAGACGCGACGCCACACACACAACGGCTCGTCTTCTTGTGTCTCTTCAGCCCCCAAGTTAACGTTAGCTGTCAAGTTAGCACTAGCACTGACGTTAGCTCCCTCCTCTCTCGGTTCTGTTGTAGCAGCAGTCACAACGTACGATGTGCTACCACCAGCTACATTCGGTTGGTCTTCTTGATCAGGTTGTTTGGCCGTC